TCATGTGTTCAATACTTTTTCCCTGTGCCATTCCACATTATTACAAATAACTTCATTTCTGGACATTTATGGTTTGATTTCTTTGTATGTATGGATCACTTGGGTTGTTACCAACATCTGGTGAAAATTTCATATCATTAGCACCTCTAGTAATATATTTTCTGAGAAAAATGGTGACATGTTCAATACTTATTTTACCCGCTGTATTTTTTTATTTTAAAGTAAAATATTTTCTTTTTAAACTGATTTGCTTGATTGGTATAAAATGTATATAAGATAATAAATGATAATGTTAATAAAGAGTCAGGAATAAAAAAGGAATTGCAAATTTATTCTTTTTTCTTTATTAGGTTATGTATATTGAAAACAAACACAATTTGGAAGATATAATTTATATTTATATAAGAATATTTTGTTGTATAACTTTTTTTTTCAGTGAATATTGACTGAAATTGGCCCTGGGCTTGGACCAAGTTCTGATTTTTGACCCCCCCGTGTAACTGACGTCTAGAAAACAAATGACTTGTTTAAATGAGCCAGACTGAGCACAGGCTCAATATGGAATCTAAATATAGGTTTTTGCCTCAATGAATATTTGCCTGAAAAACAAGAGGTCATAACTAAAAAAAGCAGATCTTCAAAATCAACCTTTACATCAGAGGTGTCATGTCTTCACAAACAATCCTTTGATTTCCTTTTAAATCAATCAGTTTGCCAGCTGTAGGGCTGAGGAATCCCTTCATGTAATGTTTGGCGTATCGTGAAGATTAGGAATTGTCCCGACTGGAGTTTCAGACAACATCACTCCAGAGAAATAAAAATCAAGTTCACTCTCATAAAAAGTAGCACAAAGCACAGGATTTCAGAAAATTTACGCCGTCATAAAACAGAGATTTTAAAAAAGCGTTGGCTATATGTGAGTTAAAAAGTAGCCAACTGGTACAGTAGCTCAGTTTTTACAGGTAGGCTACTGATGAGCATAAACCAGAAGAGACAGTCCAGTTTCAAATTTTTATCTTTAAATGTGTAAATTGTTCATACATTTGATTATATTGTCTGTTTTGTTTCCCTAAAAAGGTCAAACTTTTTATTTTTACAATGTAGGGTGAGCAAAATATTTACCGTATTTATTCAAATATAATACGTAAAATTTAATCCATTAAATCTTTCATAAAGTTGGGGGGTAGTACTATACTCGGATAAATATTTTTACTTATGTATTTTAACTGAAATATCGTCTTCATTCACAAAATGCCCGAGTCCGGAAATGAGACTGCATCGTAAAAATCAGTTGAAACGAGCTTACCTCTGACACTCCTTCATGCCTCAGAGCGAGATAGTAACAGATCCAAGCAGGCGACATGATGTGAAAAAAAGTGGGGGGAAAGTATTCCCTCAGCTTAGTGATGATAACGAACTAATGACATTAGCGTGTGACCGGGCCGCTCCTCGAACAACAACAAACATGTGTTCATCTGTAATGGCTGCCGTCTACCGGTGTTCTGAAAAAGTTTGTATCCCTGAAAAAACATTCTCACGAGTAGGAAGTAATCTGCTTTTCCCTCAGAAGATGGTCCAAATCTCATGTGAAGTATCTGACTTTTGTGTTGGTGCATCCTGGTGAACTATGTGTAAAATACCAGAATTCATATGATGCTGCTACAGCTGATATATATTTGTTGTCAAAATACCTTTAAGTACATATGTTGTTATTATAAAAAGAACAGTCCAATGATCATTTTACTGATATGTATAAAGAC